CGGGGCCCCGGCTCTTCGCGGCCACCCAACGCCCCGGACCCAGCTTCCTTCCACGAGAGCAGGAAATCTTGAGTCTCAATTGGAGCAAACTATTAAGCCAGAGGCGCGCGACCCCGTTATTCTCCCATCTCCCATGTCCACTTTCCCGACCAGCGCTCCGCGGCCCACGCCCCAGCCCTGCCCTAGCCTGTCCGCCGCTCATCACGCTTCTCATATAGATCCATGCACACGCAGGCAATCGCTCCCCTCCCTCCGCCTGTCACCAGCCCACGCCTCCCCGCTTGTAAAGCCTTCATCACCGGCTTCATCTGTGTGCTCCTCTGCTCCTCCTCGCCCTCCGCTTCTTCCTGTCCATGTCGCCGTCTCCAGCCTTCCAAGATCAACCTATCCCTATATAAATATAACCCGATCCATCCACCCACCCACACCCTGGCCCTACCCCCACCACCCTTCCCTCCCTCAAGTCTCAGCCCTTCCACCGCATTCCTTTTTGTGACTGCATTCGAGAATCCTTTCTGGACTGGGAATGTACCTGACTCTAAATGTGAGCACAAAACCCCCTCCACCGCCGAGTTCCTTCTCCCGTACCCTATCACGTTCGTCCTTGGCCTCCGGCTAATCCTCAACTGCCCAAACCTGGAGCTCAGATTGAGAGTAACGGAGGGGGTGTGGGGGAAGGCTGTCCTCCAGGCCTCTTTGCCGCTCCTGGCTAATGGCTCAGAGACACATTTCAAGACAAGGACCCAGCCAAGCGCGGTGGGCTTACGCCTGTAATCCCAGCACTTTGCGAGGCTGAGGCGGACGGATCACCTGAGGTCAGGAGTTCGAGATCAGCCTGGGCAATATGGTGAAACCTGTCTCTATTAAAAATACAGAAATTAGCCAGGCGTGGTGGCGCGCGCCTGTAATTCCAGCTACTCGGAAGGCTGAGGCAGGAGAATCGCTTGAGAACCTGGGAGGCAGAGGTTGCAGTTAGCCGAGATCGCGCCACTGCATTCCAGCTTGGGGGACAGAGCAAAACTCCTACCCCCACCCCCACCCCCCCCTACACACACAAAAAGACAAGGACCCAAAACATAATATCTAGTTTGTGGAGGACAACAGGGCAGGGGTCAGGAACGCTAGCGTCCATCTCTAGTCCTTCAGATTGAGATTTCACCATCTTTAAATTCAAAACATTGGGAGGAGCAGTCCCTAGTCCGTGCAGAGCAGCTTCCCACCTTCACATAGCCACCTCCACAGGCACAGAGCCCCTGGACTCATTTTTCCTGCAGTCTCGTTGGACATAACACTCACACCCACACAGCTCCCTAGCTGGCCTCCTCTCAACTGTGATCGCCTCTTCCCTGAAAAGCTCTCTGAATTTGAGTAATGACATGGCTCTACCATTCATTTTGTTTAAACACATTTTTTTTTTCGGTAAAAAATTGCAAACAACCTATAATTCAAAAATTACTGTAGGCAAATAAATTATGCCACATCAACACTATGTGACTGTTAAAAATACTTTTTTTTTTTTGACGTCTAAAGATGTTCAAAAAACCTAAAGATATGTAAAGTGGAGTGGAGGGAAGCCGGAAACAAAGAAGAATGTATTTCAACATTGGCAGTGCTTTTCTCTGGATGATTGAATTGTAGAGGTTTTTGGTTTTTTTTTTTTTTCTTATTGATACTTTTCAGCATTAACACTTTTTTTTTTTTTGAGATGGAGTCTTGCTCTGTCGCCCAGGCTGGAGTGCAGTGGCTGATCTAGGCTCACTGCAAGCTCCGCCTCCTGGGTTCACGCCATTCTCCTGCCTCAGCCTCCAGAGTAGCTGGGACTACAGGTGCCCGCCACCACACCCAGCTAATTCTTTTTGTATTTTTAGTAGAGACGGGGTTTCACTGTGTTAGCCAGGATGGTCTCAATCTCCTGACCTTGTGATCTGCCCACCTTGGCCTCCCAAAATGC